GTCTTTAATACTGTAGTTTGCAATTCATATCTAGTTTGATACTTACTTTCATAATATAAACAACCAATAAATGCATTTCTTGTGGAATATAAACCTCGAGCATAATACAAAATAGTGGATTCACCTATTCAACACCTAACATTTAATTTATTCTTATGCTCAAGTGGTAAGTTTTACAAGGCATTTTTCTGTTTATCCAGTTAAGTGTCTCACTAGTTAAGTGTCTCACTAGGGTAATACGTTTTCTTAACTTTGCTTGCAGCTCCTGAGTGTAATGAAGGAGCAACGTACAGTACATGTGCTTCAGCATGTCCTTTGACATGTTCAGACATTGGAAATGAGTCAGATGAGCTCTGTCCAAGAATGTGCGTAGAGGGATGTGTTTGTTTACCTGGCAGATATCTTAGTGGCTCAGATTGCGTCTTACCAGAGGACTGTGGTTGCTCTGACGGCAACAACTATTATGAGGTATGAAATCATTTTTTTTAAAATGTATTACAAATCAAAAAATATAAAAAATAAATATAATCACAGTAAATTTTATTCTATAATAAATCTAAAAAATCCAATTTAAATCTTTTGTTTTTTTGAATTTCAGGCAGGAGCCAGTTTTGTTAAAGAAGACTGTTCTGAAGTGTGTACATGCGCAAGAGGTGAACTTAATTGTGAAGACATGATTTGCGATTCAAATTCTGAATGTAGAGTTGATAATGGTCAGCGTGGTTGCTATTGTTCATTCCCATTTGTAGGAGATGGATTGACTTGTAACAGTAAGATTTATTTTATTCATTTAGATAAATAATATTGTGTTTAGCATAACAGTGGGATAGGGTCGTGTTTCTATTAATATTTGTAACGTTGTGTTGTTTTCCTCCAGTTGATCCTTGTCTGGAGGATCCGTGTGGACAGAATGGAAAATGTGAAGTCAGTGACCAAGACCCACGTGGGTATGTCTGCATCTGTAACAGAGGATGGATGGGTGATAACTGTAATGAAGGTCAGTAAACTAATATGTAATGATGTTTTCAATTTTATTAAGTAGTTTTGCGTAGTCTTAATTCATCCAATGTTAAATTTCACAGGAACTGCAATTTGCAGTGCTCATGGTGATCCTCACTACACTACATTTGATGGCTTACGGTATGATTTCCAGGGAGATTGTAAATATATTCTTTGTCAAAGCACAAATTATATTGATCCACCATTCACCATTCTTCAACAAAATGTAAGAGTACCCAACTCTGCTGTTGCAAGGACACAAGAAGTAACAATAATTGTCTATGATACGGTGAGTCATATCAGATTACCTCTGATTACTTTACCCTTTTACAATTTATAAGGATATTGCTTGATACATGAAAGAAAGAGGTAAAACCTGAAATTTTAAATTATAATTATGAATTTCTGTTTCTACAGGTGATTGAATTTAAACAAAATAAAGTTTTACTGGTTAATGGAATTGATATGTCACCTCCTGCTAGTCCCGTTCCTGGGCTGAATATAGAATTAGCTGGTCGTTATTTGGTAAGTCACTACGTTTCCTGAAATTAAAGAAACATATGAACAAAATAAGGTAATATGAATTTTATTTACAAATTTTTGTTTACTTACCAGATGCTCCAAACGAACTTCAGCCTGGAAGTTAAATGGACTGGAGGTAGTGATGTAGATATTTCCCTTTCGACACGATTCTTCAATTCAACAGAAGGCTTATGTGGAAATTTGGACAATGACAGAGAAAACGAGTACATTACAAGCAATGGAGAACAAGTGAGAACATAATTTATTTATTTTTAAATTGTTAATTTATTGAAGTTTACAGAACCATTTTCATATGCTGTACATATTTTTATTTTGTTTTTAGACTGAGAGTATCAATATGTTTGGCAATAGCTGGGCTTATGATCCAGATAACTGTGAGGGTGAAATGGGTGATGATCCTCCAGATCCATGTGGTGATAATCCTGGCAAAGAAGCAGAAGCTCAAACAAAATGTCAGATCATTACTGACAGTACTGGTTAGTTTTCTTATTGTTATCGTTGTTTATTCCTGGTTCTTCCCTTGTTTTTTTTATTTAATTTAATGTCATATTGTTTGATTTTATTCCAGGTCCATTCCAGAACTGCCATAGTGTAGTTCCACCTGAATCATACTATGACAGCTGTGTTTATGATTTATGTGCCACTTTACCAGCTGAATCAGATCTTTGTGAAGGTGTTGGCAAGTATGCAGGAGCATGTTTAGACAGTAACATTGAAATTGGAGTTTGGAGAAGAACGAATTTCTGTCGTAAGTTCACTAAAACTGAAGTAAACCTTTGTTGAGATAAGATACCTGTAAATGGCAACGAGCTATGAATTAAAATATTTTATGTATTTATTTGCAGCATTGGATTGTCAAGCTAATGCACAGTACAATCCATGTATGAAACCCTGCCAGGCAAGTTGTTCCCAACCACCTAGAAGCTGTAATGAACCTTGTGTGGAGGGCTGTGAATGCAACGATGGTTTTGTGCTCAGTGGAAGCCAGTGTGTCAGACAAAGTGATTGTGGCTGTCAATATGGTTCCAGATACATTGAGGTAATAATCATTCAATTTAATCATTGCAGTGTACATACAGTGGTGAAATGGAATGAGAATTATTGCTTCTTGTAAGGTTATAGCATTTAGTATATATTGTAATGTCTCCATTTTAGCCTGGTTCAAGCTTTACCAGAGAAGACTGTTCAGAAAGATGTGACTGTAGTGGGGGTGGTGTCATTAGCTGTACTAACTTCACCTGTCATCGAGAAAGTACATGTGGCCCTGTTGATGGAGATTATGGATGTATCTGTAATGAGGGATTCCTTGGAAATGGACTTGAGTGTCAACGTAAGTTACTTTTTTTTAACAAGTGCTTATAGAGTCATATAATTGTTATTGTTTTTGAGCTTTTTTAGTCTATTTCGTGAATGCTTACCTGGATAAACCGACTAATTGCCATTGTTCCCCAAAACGCTTTTTTATTTTATCTGATTTTGTTCAAATGTATTTGCAGCTGATCCGTGTTTTGTAAATCCTTGTCAAAATGGCGGTACATGCACTTCAACTGGAAGTAGCTTTGTTTGCACCTGTCCAGCTGGTGTCACTGGAGAGACATGTACCTCACGTAAGTATAGCAATATCTAACAGTGTGTAGTAAATTGTGTGGTATAATGCTGTACACAGATAAAAGATTCATATTAATGGTTTGTTTCTTTCTGCTCTCAGAAACTGGCAAATGTTCAGCCTCTGGCGACCCGCATTACAGCACATTTGATAAAAGAAAATTTGATTTCCAGGGTGGAGGGGAATACATCCTTCTTATGAATACTATCGCGAACAGAACAGTGACAGTTGTACAGAAAAATCGGAAAGCTTTCTTCAATAACAGAGTATCTTACACCAGAGAAGTTTATGTCTATATTGATGATGTGGTAAGTATACATTGGTGAGACAAATTAAGTACAGTATTTTTTTCGTTTAACCAATAACAATCTGAACTGAAATGATGACCATATATATATTCTGTTGTATTTTTCAGAAAATCAGTTTCCTGCGAAGGATTTGTTTCTTTTTCTTCTGTGGACATCTCAGATTTCAAGTAAACAATGCATACCAACAAGCTCCATATACATTAATTCCTGAAGTAGAAGTCACAAAATCTACAAGTAACTTGGTAAAGATATATACAGTATACTGTATATTTATATAAGATTTTTTTGGTACAGTACTTTCTTCATATTTTTGTAAAAGCACATGTACAGTAATTGTAAATAATTTGTTGTTTTTAGATACTGAGATCAGATTTTGGTTTGGAAGTTAAATTTAATGGTATTAGTGCTGTTTCCATAACTCTGTCTGGAGATTACTGGTACAACAAGACTAAAGGATTATGTGGTACTTGGGATAATAACCCAGACAATGACTTCTCTAATCCATCTGGGATTTTGGTAAGATAATTTAGTTATATTAAGAATATTTCAAATCATTTTAATTATTACGAAAGCCTCACTACATATCGTTATGAACTGCCTTTAAATTAAATATTTCCAAATCCAATATATGTCATTAAAAATGTTTATAATATATATTTTGTTAAAATATATGTAGTGGAGGAGGTTCTAATCTTTGTTGACAATAATGACCTTAAGTTACTGTCGAATCTTCCCTAGAAAAATACTGTATTTACATACATCTTAAAGAAATGGGTCCCATAGTTTTATACGTTTTCGTAATAAGCAAGAATACGATTAGTAATTTTTTTACATTCAGTTTATATATTTAATGTTATGTTTATATTTTTATGTAATAGCTTCCAAATGCCAACGCATTTGGAAACAGTTGGTTGTATAATCCTGCTGATAATACAGATGACATGGAAGATGAAGATGCTGGTGAGTATGATCCATGTGAAGAGGCAGAGGATTTAGAAGAGGAAGCTGAGGAGATGTGTAATGTCATCAGAGATAACGAAGGTAAAGTTTACTTACGATGATACCATCAATATTTTTTTTTTCTGTAATTTGATTTTACTTATCAAAACAATCACTACTTTGTACATTTTACAGGTCCATTTGCAATTTGTCATCAGAACATTTCTTACACACCATTCTTTATGGATTGTACGTATGATCTGTGTGCACAACTTCCGGACACAACTGGATTTTGTGATGATATTGAAGAATATCAAACAGCATGCATGAATATTGGAATAGAAGTGGGAGTTTGGAGAACTGAAGAATTTTGTCGTAAGTTTAAAATTCAGCTGTCTTTATTCGTACGTTATTTTTTTTCAAGAAAAATACAGAATACTTACATAGAATACTTATTCAACAGCATTGAACTGTCCAGATGGATCCAGCTACAAACAGTGTGTAAGTGCATGCCAACCCTCCTGCACAAATCCTGATCAAGATCCTCTTGCATGTTCCACACCTTGTAGTGAAGGCTGCCAGTGTGATGAAGGTTACTTGTTAAGTGATGGTGTGTGTGTTCGTAGTGTGCAATGTGGCTGCGTATTTGAAGGCTTGTACTTTGAGGTAATTCTATTATATATATTTCATTATTGACAACACAAAATGTAAGGTGATGTTATTAGCATTCATTTTACAAAGTTTCAAATAGCCAAACAGTTGATTATGTTGGTTTTTTTTTTCAGATTGGTTCTGAATTGGTGGATTCAAATTGTACACAGATGTGCACATGCAGAGCAGGTGGTTATGTGGATTGTTCCGACATGGTTTGTGATCCTGATTCTGTATGTGGCATTTCCGATGGCGTTTTTGGCTGTTATTGTCCAGATGGATTTATTGGTGATGGATTAATATGTGATGGTGAGTATGAGGAGTATTGTGTTTCAGAAGAACTATTTGAAAATTAGTGTGTGGTGTGTTCTAAACCTGTTCATAAATTGCTTTTATTTACATCTTTTAGTTGATCCTTGTAATGAAAATCCATGTGCAAATGGTGGACAATGTACAGGTATTGATAGTGTCTCATTCACATGCATATGTTTCGCAGGATGGACAGGGGACACATGTGAAACAAGTAAGTTAGAATGGTTAGAAGAAATTTAACAAATACCTTAAAATTGTCTACTTTCATCTTAATCATTATGAGTTAGAAGGCGTTACTATACTTTCTGTTTCTTAAATATGTTACCTGGATTATCTGAAGGTGCCAAGTTTCATTTAGCAGAACCTACTGTATCTAAACAAAAAGCATATAATTATTGTTTCTAAGGTAAAGTAAAGGTAGGAGACTGAAACTAGCGTCGGTGTTAAGGTACTAGTTAGTGGTGCTCCTGCCTTTCTGCTTGGCCACTTGTGGTTGTCTTCTTGCAACTCTTTATTGTGTCCATGATATTTTAATTATTTACTTTTTTGTAAATATAATTGTTTCTATATGAGACTGATTTCCATATTTTGTGTTTCAGTGACTGGTCATTGTAGTGCACATGGAGACCCTCATTACACAACATTTGATGGTCTTCGCTATGATTTCCAAGGAGAGTGTCAGTATGTCTTGGCTCAAAGCTGCAATGATCCAGAAACTAACTTCACAATTGTGCAACAAAATGAAAAGTATGCAGTTAATCCAAATGTGGCTGTCACCAAGGAGATCATTATTTATTTAGATGATGTGGTATGTTTGACAAACAATTTGGAATTTCTTAACATAATTGTTATCATCTTTTGCATTTTCTATAAAATTCACATCAACGTTTTTATTACATCAGGTTATTTCTTTGTTGAGAGAACGAATTGTTTTGGTTGATGGCGTAGAACAAACACCACCAATCAGTACTCGTGGAGTCAATGTAGATGTTAGTGGAATGTTTTTGGTAAGAACTTCTTTTAACTTTCACACTTTTAAAATCATGAGTCAGTTCAAATTTCAAAATTTTAAACTAGTACAAAATATATTATTAGATCATTTATATCTCAAAATCAAAAATTATTAGAATTTGTTTTGATGATTGGTTATTTTCTGGCATGAAGGTTGTGAGAACAAATTTCTCATTGGAAGTGACTTGGAATGGAGAGTATGATGTTGATGTCAGTGTTCCTGGTGCCTTCTACAACAAGACATGTGGTCTGTGTGGTACTTGGGATGGTGATAGAAGCAATGACAAGCGTCAACCCGATGGAAGCCAGGTAAGCTTTATGAATATCTTACAATTTTTAATCAGTTTTTGTTTTTTATTTCAAGATACATATATTAATTTTCATAATTTAATGCATATTACATTAGTTATGGATACTTAAGAAAGTATAATACATACCCTAAGTATTGAAATACACACCATCGTGTCATGTATTTCAATACTGGAGTATGTATTATACTTTCTTATCTGAGATTAATCAGTGGACCTTTCGGTTCATGGATACCTGCTTCAAAAAATCAACATATGCCAAAATTCTTTTTTAAACTTCAAAGGTACTGTATATAGAACTATTTGTCCTGATTGTGATTTGTATAATTTATTTGCCCTGCATAATCATCCTCATTTTCTTTTCACTTGCATGGATTAAACCAAATATTAGAATTGTTTGTCCAGGTACTGTATTCATTTCATTTCATTTCATTTATTTATTCGACCAATACACATTTACAAAAGGTACAGTACAACAAAAATTTAAAGGACTTAACAAATGTGAGTTGTGAAAATTAGTTTTGTTCTAAAACAGGTCAATTAGATGTATTCAACAAAATATGTAATATTGGGCTTACTCATCCAAGAGTTGAGAAATTTATTTCAAAGTCCAAAAAGAAAAAAACTTATATTACAACCATTGTAAATAAATATATCAATAACTAATTTTTCATGTTTGATATCACAAGACACATTTATTAGTTTAACTTACATAAATGTATATCATATGATGAGTACAAAAATATGCCATAAATACTGTACATCCATATGTCAGAAAATTATATTTTTGTGTTTTGAAGGCTGATTCTATCTCCAAATTTGGTAACAACTGGAAGTTCAATCCAACTGAATGCTCAAGTCTTGAACCACTAGCACCATACAATCCTTGTGCTGATGATTCAATTCTAAGTAATGCCCAAGACATCTGTAGTGTTCTTATATCTGATACTGGTAAGGAGTTTCATGTAATTTAACCAATATTTATTTGTTTTTTCCATCAGACAAAGAAAAGAGATTTTAGAGGAGGGGTATGTTCAACCGTGGATAGATCCTGAAGCGTGTGTGGGTGGGTGTGTTTTGATTCGATATACTGTAATTGTAAATTGTAATTTATTTTAATATAATGTTGGTCTTTATTTTTTTAAAAGGACCCTTCCGTGATTGCTTCAGCACAATTAATTCAACAGACTATTATGATAATTGTGTGTTTGATGTCTGTGCAACACCAGAGGGTGATATTTCTTATTGTGGTAATATTGATGGTTATGCTCGTGCCTGCAGAAGTAGGTTCATAGACATTGGCTCATGGAGAACACAAGATATTTGTCGTAAGTGTTTATCTTTTAGTGTCAATGAAGAATCATAACTTAGTTATAACAAACAATGAATTATTTATGTAATTGTTTCTCATTTGTTTATCCCTCTTTGAACAGCATTGGCCTGTGCATCAGGTTCTGTTTACAATCCATGTTCAAGCGCTTGTCCATCAACCTGCTCAGATCCAGATGCCGGCAGTGGTCCATGTCCATCTCGATGTGTCGAAAGCTGTGAATGTATTCCTGGTTATCTTTTGAGTGGAATCAACTGTGTTCCACTCGCCGAATGTGGATGTGATTATGATGGAATGTATCTTAGGGTGATTATACTTGTATTTAATAACATTTTCAATTTATGTTGTCCCTTAAGACAAAACTTAGAGAGCATCATATGACTCAGTCCAACGAGATTTATAAGTCACGTTGTGTCTGTGAGTTAAATGCAGACACAGTGAGTCATCTCGAGACTGCATCAGAGACAGTTGCCTTATAAAAGAAAGTCTAAAAGCAACAATAGTGCAATAGATAGTGCCCATGCTCATTTGAGCCATAAATTGCCACAAAGTGCAGAGTGTACCTAGTCAGTACTGCCACTAAGACATAAAGACCATTACATACAATGCCACAACATCATAACTGGTTTACTTCAGTGTGGGCAGAGACAAACGTATACAAAGTACCTTGACCAAGAACACAAGCAAATCTGCATAGCGATATTCGATACGCGAAAATCGAAGTTGAGAACATGATCCACAACTTAACTTAACTGCTTCTCCAATCCCTCTTGATTCATAGACATTTTGTTTCTCCGTTTCTTTATGTAACTACCTAACTGTATTTATAGGCTGGTAGTTCATTTGTAACTGAAGAATGTGCTGAAGAATGCATATGTGAAGGAGGTTCTGTATCATGCCAACAAATTGAATGCTCTATAAACTCCACATGTTCAGTAGTAGAAGGTAGAAGACAATGCACTTGTATTGATGGCTTTTTTGGTGATGGATTTGATTGTATACGTGAGTATCGTTAATTATTTTGTTACATTTTTTATAATGTACATGTATATTTATTTGTGTTTTGTGTATTTTTATAGCATAACAAGCATCTGTACTGGGAAATTGCAAAGGTGTAATTAGAATTTGATAAAATTGTATGATAAATATCGATTGTATTGTTTTAAACTCAATTCTTTATACTATATAGCTGATCCCTGTGAATC